GCATTTTATGGTCCAAGTGTTTCATTGTGATCCAATCCCAAGCCTGAATCACTGGACTGTCCTGATCTGTTTGGCCCACAACAGTAGTTAGCAGGATTAGATGGTAATGATTTTGAGGTTCTCAAGGTTGAAGTGGAGGAACGGCCATGTCAGAAAAAAGGTAGTCTCAGATTAGATGACCACATAACTCTGCTATTCCACATCTGCAGCACTGCTAGTTAGGCCTATGTGAGAAACCCTCTTAATAGGATAAAGTGACTCTCACTGACCCTATAATATTAGTCCAATGGGTGCTTAAGAAGTTTGACAGGGAGAGTAAAAATATTTTGCAATCCAATATGCCCTGGCTCTTGCTAATGCTTTTAGAAAAGCTGGATCAACAATATAAGGAAAATGAAAACAGACTGTCTGCTTGTTCAGTAATAAGAAATAGACAGGAATCCACTTTTGGTTTTTAAGGCTCATGCCTTGAAGGCAGAGAGGCAGTAAATGGCACTGGTAACAGCTCAGGTGAAAAGAACAATACATATGAAGGGGAAGGAATGGAATTGATAGGTTGCAGGTGAGAAGTAACCAGAAAGTGTCAAATCTTGCTGATATTAGGGTTATTATTAGGGATGAAAATCAAAGCCACAGTGAGGATGAGAATTTGGAACTGTTGCACATAGTAAGAAAGCCAAGCTTAACCTATCACAACCTACTGGAGCGGGATTTCCTCTACAGAGGGATCAGATAGTGAGTGGGCTTTCACCATCAAGAAACCTGAGAATTTGCAGAAGCTTAAACAGCAACCTAACAAATCATTATTGAGGGTGTTATTGAGGGTGTGGTCTAATGGAGGTAAGGTGTAATCCCAGCTGCAGAGTATCATCAGTTTGCAAGGCTTCACAGATAAATTCCCTTGGGGAAACTCAGTTAAATCAGTTAGAGGCCCTAGATAGCAATTACCCTTCGTCCTTTTCAGGTGGCAAAGACAGGGAGTTCCACATATGTGGTTCAACAAAGATGAATTCCATCTTTAGGTAGTTTCCTAGTGGGGTCAGCAAGAGAAGGGAGAAAGTTCCTAAAGAGATAGATCTGGTAAACTTACGTCACTTCTCTCCACCCCACCTCCTCTACCCACCCTATGACCAGCCTGTGTCCGAGGCAACTAGATTTCATGTTCTGGGTGGAGGCCACATGACTGGCATTACACTTTAGCTATGGGCTATCACACCTCCATACAGACCTCGGCAGAGCAACTCATGATATCCAGACAGGAGATGAGACAGCTCCAGTGACTTTCTAGGAAAATATGGTTCCTCACACAAACAGGTGCTCAGGGGATGATGGGAGGAGGCTCTGTGCCTATCATTTTATTAGATGAGCTGTGATGATACCATCTCCCATGAGGAGCTTTGAATGTAACCCCAGAAACATGGTTTCAAGAAAGATGAGTGATCATCAGCCTATTTTAGTAAAATTATACCATGATATCTGACATCAGGGTGCTTTTGTATGGCCCAAACTTAGGACATCCCTGCAAGTCCCCACCCTACTTGGGTATTACAAGCTACCTAAGCCTTGTATGCAGACTTTAAGGACTCAGAGCCAGGGCTCTTAACTTGCTTTGTGCCTTGGAACATTTTTGGCAGTTTGATGAGACCTATGGAAGCTTTCTCAGACTGTTTTTAAATGCCTAAAATATATAGGATTTCAGGGAAACAAATCACAATGAAATACAACTGAAATATAAAATATAAAAATAAATAGTTCACAGACCCCAGGCTAAGAGCCCCTGTCCTAGAACAAGAGCCAAGTTTTCCCTGAAGCTCAGACTATTCTAACTGCAGGACCAGTGGTTATGACCACTGTCCAAGTGACAATGGCTTGGAAAGGGGCAAGGGGTCAAAGGGAAACCATCAAATATATGAATATATGAGGCTGCTAGATACACTGGTGGTGAGGTAACTGCTATACTGGGGACTCTTGATGATTCCAGTGAGGAACCCCCATTTTTATTGGGAATTTTGGAAATAGGCCTCCTGAAGTAAGCAGTATCACTGCACAAGTAGAAATGGGTAGAAGATCCCATTTAGGTCATGGCTATGGTGGTTAAACCCCTTTTTACAAATAAGTAAAGGGGGGGGGCAGCTAAGTGGCACAGTGAATAAAGCTCTAGCCTTGGAGTTAGGAGGACATGAGTTCAAATCTGGCCTCAGACACTTGACACTTAGTAGTTATGTGATCCTGGCCAAGTCACTTAACCCCGATTGTCTCACCAAAATGCAAAAAAAAAAAAAACCCCAAAATTAACAAAAAACAAAAGAAAGAAAAAAAAAACCAAATAAGTAAACAAACCAAAAGAGCTTAAGTGACTTGCTCAGGGTCACACAGTTAGTAAGAGGCAGGATTTGAACTTAAGTCTTCCTGACTCCAAAGTCAGCACTCTATCTACTGTACAATCAAGCTGCTTTTGTATAATCAGTGTAAATATATTGTAGGAATGGATATGATGAAGAGAAAGGAATAATCATTTACATGACAACTACTATGTGCCAGGCACTGCTAAGCATTTTACAAATATTATCTCATTTGAACCTCACAACAACCCTGGAGGAGAAATACTGTTATTTTCCCCATCTTACAGATGAGGAAACTGAGGCAGACAGCAGTGTAGTGACCTAGGATAAGAAGAGAAGTGAATAGGGAAAAAAATTCTGTCTTATTTTTTGGTAAAGGGTTTGTTAGTCAAGAGACATAAACAATTAACAAATATAAGACCAATAGCCATTCACCAAAAGATAAGTGGTCAAAGGACATGATTAGATAGTTCTCAAAAGAAGAATTACTAACTATTAGCAACCACATGAAAAAATGTACAGATCACTAATAATAAGAAAAACACAAGTCAATATAATCCTGTGGCTTCACCTCATACCCTACAAATTGGCAAAGATGAAAAAGGATGGCAATAGTCAATGTTGGAGGGATTGCAGGAAGACAGGTACATTGTTGGTGTAACTGTGAATAGACACAAGCATTCTGAAAAACAATTTGAAATTATGCAATAAAATGTCTAAAATGTCCAGACCCTTTACAAAGACAAAAATAAGCCAGGCTCATACCCTAAGGAAAATAAGGGCTTATATACTAAGGAAGCCATTGATAAGAAAGTTCTCATATACACCAATATATTCACAGCAGGACTTTTTATAATAGCAAAGAACTGGAAACAAAAGTAGATGCCCATCAATGGGAGAATGGCTAAACAAATTGTGGTATATAAAGATAATGGCATATTACTGTGCCGTAAAAAGTGAATGTCATTCCCCAATTGACAAATGGTCAAAGGGTATGAAAAGGCAGCTCTCACATAAAGAAATCAGTTATCTATAGTCACATGAAAAAATGCTCTAAATCACTAATGATTAGAGAAATGAAGATTAAAAAAAAACTGAGGTACCACCTCATACCTGTAAGATTGGTTTATAATACAAAAAGGAAAATAATAAATGATGGAGGTAATGTGGGAAAATTGGGACACTAATGCATTGTTGGTGGAGTTGTGAACTGATCCAACCATTCTGGAGAGCAATTTAGAACTATGCTTAAAGGGCAATCAAACTGTGCATACTCTTTGATCAACAATGCCACTACTAGGTCTATAGCCCAAAGAGATTTAAAAAAAAGGGGGGGGAGGACCTATTTGTACAAAAATATTTATAGCAGCTCTTTTTGTGGTGGTCAAAAATTGGAAATTGAGACATGTCCATCAATTGGGGAATGGCTGAACAAGTTGTAATATATGAATATAATGAATTGCTATTGTGCTTTAAGAAATGATTAGCATAAGAGGCAGCTAGGTGGCACAGTGGATAGAGAACTAGCCCTGGAGTCAGGAGGATCTGAGTTCAAATTCGGCCTCAGACACACAACATTCACTAGCTGTGTGACTCTGGGCAAGTCACTTAACTCCAATTACCTCACCAAAAGAAAAGAAGAGAAAAGAAAAGAAAAGAAAAGAAAAGAAAAGAAAGTAAAAAAAAGAAAAGAAAAAATGAGCAGGATGATTTGAGAAAAACCTAGAAAGACTTCCATGACCTGATGCAGTTAAGTGAGCAGAACCAGCAGAACATCATACACAGTGACAGCAACATTGTACAATGATCTACTGTGAACGACTTATCTATTCTCAGCAATATAATGATCCAAGACAATCCCAAAGGACTCATAATGAGAAACGCTATCCACCTCCAGAGAAAGAATTGATGGTGTCTGAATACAGATGAAGCATACAATTTTTCACTCTGTCCTCTTTTCTTTTTTGGTTCACGTTTTCTTCCACAAAATGACTAATGTGCAATCATGTAAAACATTTCCACATGTACAGTCTATATCCGATTGCTTGCCATCTCAGGAATGGGGAAGGAGAGGGAGGGAAGAATAGAATTTGGAACTCAGAACTTAAAAAAAAAAATTAAAAAAACATGAAATGTTAAAAAAAAGTGGTTAAATATTTTTAAAAAGGCAAATAGTTTAAACCCCCATCCAAATAAAATGACTGTGATGAATATAGAGAAGTAACAGTAAGATCTACACAAAATAATGGAAAGTAAGCAGACCAAGATAACAATATACACGATGACTACAACAATGTAAATGGAAAGAACCACACATAGGAAAATCAAAAGTGCATGTTGCAAAATTATAAAGAAGATGCACGGCTCAAAAAGACATAAGAGGACACTCTCACCCACTGCTTTGTGGAGGTGGGAGGTCCACAAGTACTGCACATTACAGGTTTTTGGCCTTTTTCAATGTATTAATAAGTTGTGTTGACTTTTTCCTTTTTTGTCTTTAAAAAAATACTACAGGATGGCTTTCTGTGAGGGAAAAAGGAAGAAATACTGGTAAAACTATGATGATATATAAAAAACGACATCAATATAAACTTATCTCAAAAAAATTTTTTTAAACTGCATTAAAAAAAAAAGAAGAAAAGCAGTTACTGGCCCATCACCAATGCAGGCCTGGTTAATTAAATGATTAATACAGGGTCAGCCTTGGTCCAGAGACGTCCTCTCCAAACTGAGGGATACAAAGTCGTCTTGTCTCTCTTTTTCTTGCCTCCCTTGAGGAACCCCACTTCTCCTGGTTCATTGGCAGCTCAGCATGGTTAATTGAATGTTGGCAACTACTCATCCAGCAATGGGGGATAATTTGAGGGATGGGATCCAGGCAAGGTCTTCATCTATAGTGATTCATGGGCAGTGGCTATGGAGTTAGCTAAGTGGTTTGGAAAGAAGAGAACTGGACAATCAAGAGTTCTCCTCTTTGGGGTCAGCACCAATTTGGCTGATGTCTATCCCACTGTGATGTTCTATATGGGGAATATTAGCGCGTATTAGAAACACCAAACAACCTCAAGTGAGCTGCCTAGTCAAGCTGAGGCTCTTCTGGGAATGACAGCATGGAGTATGAGCAGGCAGGCAGGCAAGCAAAAAACACTTACTAAGCACTTGTAATGTGTCAGGATGGGGTCCATCATCATTTTGGCTATGGGAGCTATGATGCCATGCTGTGGTGGGCACAGGACCGTATGATCCCCTTAAGTAAGGATGAGGCATCTACTTCTGTTCAATGATTCTCCCCCTAGTATCAATCAGAGCATCCACCTCTGAAAGACTGGTATGGGATGATCCCACATGGTTCCTGACTTGCCTTTGACTGGCAAAAATGATCTATTGGCCCTCTTTCCCAACCTCTAGGTAAGAAGGTTCCCTTACTGTAATTGATATTCAATTCAGGATATGGCACTGCAGTGCCAGTTAAGTCTGCTACCATGGCAGCCACTAACCAAGGTTTTATAAAACATGTCCTTCCTCCTTATGGAATCCCTCGCATCACTGCCTCTGACTTTACCACAGGACAGGTACGACACTGGATCTGCTGTCACCCAGAGGTTTTCTATCTCCAGAATCATTCTCAAGCAGCTGGCACTGGTATCGAACACTGGAATGGACTCATAATAGCAGCTCCATCAACAAAACCCTGATTATCAGGGTTGGGTGTCCTTCCTCCTAGAAATCTGTAAAGAATTAGCATTACCCCAAAATGGAGTTGTGAAGAGTCAGACACAACTCAACAACAATGGAGGGGGAAGGGTTACAAAGCATTTCACCCCCAATCCTGGGTCACGCTCTCCCACAAAGAGGCAGAGAGGAGTCAGGGGTTGGAAGAGATTAGACACAAACTTAAAGTACAATGGTACTGAGGCATATGTGTAGGGAATATGTGGCCAAGACAACTCACAACTCTGGGCCATCTAGGCCTCGATGTGCTTTCCTTCTCCAGAATCCTCAAAAAATTCATTGCAGGGGTGCAGCATCCATGTCAGTGATGACGAGCAGAACACTGCACACACACACAGAACAGGAGTATATGTCAGAGAAGCACACAGCAGCAGTATGTAACAAAAACTGTATGCCAGTATACATATCAACACTGAACATTTACCTTCTAATGTGTGAAACACATAATACCATATATTGCAGCAACATACAAGGATCCACTGGAAGACGGACTGGAGTGGAGAGAGAATTGTCCAGCAGGCTACTGACACACTCCAGACATGAGGTGATGTGGTCCCACACCAGGGTGGGAGCAGGGTCACAGGAGAGAAGGAGACACATATGAGAGATGTTGCCAAGGTAGAACTGACAGGTCGTGGCAAAAGATTGGATATGGGGGACAGGGGTGAGGAGTGGGGATGGGGAGGAAGTGAAAGATAGTCAGGAGTCAAGGATGACACAGACTGCAAGCCTGGGTGACTGGAAAGATGGTGGTGCTCTCAACAGTAATAGGGAAGTTAGGAAGAGGGGAAGATTTGGGGGGAACAATAATGAGTTCAGTTTCATACACACTGAGGTAAGATGTTAATGGAACATCCAGTTCAAGATGTCCAATAGACAGCTGGAGACGTGAGAATGGAGCTCAGCAGAGAAGTTAAGGATGGGTGAAGTGATCTGAGAGTTTGAGTACAGACAGAGAAAAGAAGGTAGAGGACAGAGCTTTGGAAAACACCCATGGTTAGCAACTTGACCTGGATAAAGATCCAGCAAAGGTAACTGAGGTCAGACAGTTAAGAGGAGAACCAGGAGAAAGCAGGGTCATGAAAACCTAGAAAGGAGACATGAGCAGAATTAGACATAAAGGATGCCATTATGAACAAATCAGAGGAACAGGAGAATTACCTTTCAGACCTACGAACAGGGGAATAGTTCATGACCAAACGAAAGTAGAGAGGATCCCAAAAGATAAGCCGGACAATTCTGATTACATAAAATTAAAACGTTTTTGAACCTATGGAACCAATGTAGCTAAAATTAGAAAAGAAGCAGGTAACTGGGGAAATAAATCTGTGCAGCAAAATTTCTCTAATAAAGGTCTCATTTTCAAGATATATTACATATATATGCAAATTTATATACATAAGAGCCATCCCCCAATTGACAAATGGATAAAAAGATATGACTAAGCATTTTTCAGAGGAAGAATCCAAGCTATCAGCCATATGAAAAAAAAGCTCCAATAGATAAATGCAAATAAATTAAGGCAACTCTGAGATTTTACCTCACATTCATCAAAAAGTTAATAAAAAAGAAAATGACAAATGTCAGAGTGGCTGTGGGAAAACATGTACACTGATGCACTGTTGTTGAAAAGCAATTCCTTTCTGGAATCTGGAAAGCAATTTGGAACTATAATAAAAAACTGACTAAATCTTGCATTACCTGTGACTCAGAGGTACCACTACTACACCTATACTCCAAAGAGATCAAATAAGAAGGAAAAGGGTCCTTTTGTACAAAAATAATATTTCTATCAGCTTTGTGTTTTGGGGGAGAGGAGAATGACAAAGAACTAGAAACTAAGGGGGTGTTTGTCAATTGGTGAATGGCTGAACATATTATAGTATATGAACATAATGGAATACTATTGTGCCAAATGCAATGGGGAAAAGGACAATTTCAGAGAAACCTGCAACAACATGTAAGAACTGATACAGAGTGAACAGAACCAGGAGAACAACTTATACAATAACAAACACTGTAAAGACAAACAATTTTGAAAGACTTAAGAACTCTGATCAACACAACAACCAACCATGATTCCAGAAGACCCAGAATGAAACATGCTACCTATTTCCTGACAGAGAAGTGATGGACTCAGGATGCAGAATGAAACATATGTTATTTTGGACATAGCTTATGTGGAAATTTGCTTTGCTTGTTTTTCTTTTCTTCTGTGGGGGGAAGGAGACAGGAGATAGATAAAAAAAAAATTTTGTTAACTAAAAAAATAAAATCTAGTTAAAAGAATTGGTGTGTCAAAGGAACATGATAGAAACAATCAATCAATAATGTCATTAAAGATAATGAAAACAATGAAAAAAAATTACCAAAATTTGTAGGATACAGCCAAAGCAGTCCTTAGGGGAAAATTTATCCATCTCCAAACACCTTGATCAATAAAAGAACAAAACAAACTGGACATGCAACTAAAAAATTTGAAAATCAAGAAATTTTCATACCTCAGTTAAATAAAACAGAAACTCTGAAAATCAAAGAAACTATACAAAACTGAAAGAGAATTATTAAATAAATAAAACTAAGCTTTCTTTTAGAAAGCTAATAGATATTTTTTATTTTAAAATATATAAATATAAATTTAATAATATGATATAAATTTAAAATTTATATTTAAAATAGATAAAAATAGATAATTTGATTAAACTAAGTAGAAAATGAAAGGCAGTATCAAAATGCCAAAGTATTTACAACAAATGAAGAAAGGAAACTGGAATGGTTCCTGTGGTTGAGTTTGCACTGGCTTCTAGAGGCTAAGTTCCTCACCTTCCCGACTGACCTTAGCAAGTTTCAACTGTGATGCCTGTGCAGAATAAGAAACCGGTCAATTGAGCCTTGAGCTACTCCTCCGGGCCTCCAACTGTTGCATGGCCTCCTCTCTGTATTTGTAAACTTACCACTTCAAAACTGGCTGTCCTCATCGTTGCTCATCATGGCTCTAGAATGTGCACAACTGGATTTATTCATGGAAGCTGCCACCATCCCACACTGCCCCCACACCCCACCCCAAGCCTCATCCCTGACACCCAAGATAAAAGAAAGATGACACAGATCATGTTGGAGACCTTCACCAGCCCAGCCACATACACTGCCATGCAGGCTGCGCTATTTCTGCATATCTCTAGATGGACTGTGGTGAAGGCAGTCTAAACTGCACTGTGCCCAAATATGCAGTTACACCCTTCCTTTGCTGTGCCGTTCTCCATCTGGATATGGCTATGACCTGACAGACTACCTCATGAAGATCTGGACTGAGAAAACCTATAGCTTCACTCCCAAAGTGGAGAAAGAAACTGTGACACCTGGGAGAAACTGCCCCACTGCCCTAGAACTTGAGAGCAGGAAATGGTCATTGCTGCATCAAGCTCTTCTCCAGAAAAGAGCTATGAGATCACTGATGATTAGGTGGTCAGAAGCTCTCTTCCAACCATCTTTCTTCAGTGTGGAATCATGGAGTATCCATGAAATTACCTTCTACCTAATCATGTAGTGTTGTTGACATCCATAAGGATCTATAAACCAATACTGTATCTTCTGGTGGTACCACCGAGTAACTAGGCATTGCTGACAGGGCTCTGAAAGAGATCACAGCCCTGACCTCTAGCACCAGAGAAATCAAGATCATTGGCCCACCTGACAGCATGTTCTCTGCCTTAAACTGGAGTCTCCATCCTGGCCTTCCTGTCTACCTTCCAGTAGATGTGGCTCAGCAACCAGGAGAAGAGAAATCTGAGCTCTTCATTGTCCATTGCAAATGATTTTATATGAACGGTTTTTTTTTTTTGGAGGGGAGGCAAAGAGTGTGACATGATAATTGTCCCCAAAAGAGATAAGATTGGCACAGAAAAAATTGGGTGTTTTTTTGGTGCTTGACTCAGAATTTTAAAACTGGAGTGGTAAAGGTGATAATAAGTCTAAAAGTATGTTGGAAGCAAACATCCTCAAAATTCCACAGTCTGTCTTCAGAATTCTGATTGTACATTTGTTTTGGTTTGTTTTTAACAGTTGTTCCAAAATTCATACAATGCATTATTACAGTGACTTGCCTTAATGAAAGCTTCCCTGATCTACAAAAGGAATTAATTACATAAATTCAGACAAGGGAGGGGGAGGATGGAAAGGGCAAAAGGACTGCTTATGGGGCAGCTAGATGGCGCAGTGGATGGAGCACCAGCCCTGGAGGCAGGAGGACCTAAGTTCAAATCCGGCCTCAGACACTTAGTAGCTAGCTACCTGTGTGACCCTGGGCAAGTCACTTAACCCCTATTGCCTCCAAAATAAAAACAAAACACACACACACACACACACACACACACACACACACACACACACACACACACACACA